CATCCTTTAATATATATTTTATGATGTTTGTCTTTAGTGAAATAGGCCTGGTGTGTATGAATATGTGTCTGAGCCTGTGGAACCCAACATTTCTATTGGGTTCCTCAATTCTAAGAATATCTTTCCAGAAAATACTATTAACATTTAATGAGCGAGGATTTTTTTTTCTGAATCTGGGGCTATATCATCATGCTTACCTATTGTCACATATTAAATAGTGAAGCCCAACAACTAGTGTCAACGTTCCAACTTGGGCAACTTTGGAATATACATATATAGCACTTTTGGTTGGATAGCTAATATTAGGACCAAAATACACTAGAACTCTCATATCTCTGGAAATAATTACACCAGTTTTAAAAAAAATCACAGAATGTAATGTCTAATAAAAGAAGATTTGACCTCTTTTCCCATGTTAAATTGATTTTATGAGGAAACCCGATTTTAAAATTAGGAAACAGATGGTGATATGGGAAAAAATGGATGGAGTTGAAGATATTGACTTTGAACCAACTGATAGATAATAAAGATGAATTTTAACATATGCTGTGTTAAGAGATGAGTATCATCTCAGACGTAATCCAATGGCAATATTTATAGCTATAAGAGTTGTCAAGAATATTGTCTGGACCAGCAACAATTTCAACTTATAAGATATCCAAGATACTGGAACAACTTGTTAAATGCTTTACAACTCAAAAAAGCATACTATTTTTTGGACTACTGTTTCTGCCATTGATAGATTTTTGCTATCAATAAATCAATTTGATACACAGATGCTAGGAAATGGGTGAAATAAAGAATTAGAGGTTCCTTATTGCTTAGACAATGAGAGAGCATCTTATTTTCTATGGCAATAGTGTTAACAAAGAAGAGGGAGTCAAATTATTCTCCAAAGCACCTGAGGGTAGAACAAGAAACAATGGGTGGAAACTAATCAAGGAGAGAAGCAATTTAGAACTAAGGAGAAATTTCCTGACAGTTAGAACAATTAATCAGTGGAACAACTTGCTTCCAGAAGTTGTAAATGCTCTAACACTGGAAATTTTTAAGAAGAAATTGGACAACCATTTGTCTGAAGTGGTGTAGGGTTTCCTGCCTAAGCAGGGGGTTGGACTAGAAGACCTCCAAGGTCCCTTCCAACTCTGTTATTCGATTCAATTCGATTCGATTCGATCTGATCTGATCCGATCCGATCCTATCCTATCCTATCCTATCCTATCCTATCCTATCCTATCCTATCCTATCTATTCTAATACTTCTTTACTTCCTCTTTTGTCACTTCAGGTGACAAGAGATTTTTAAATATTTTAAAATTTAAATTAATTTTTAAATTAAATTAAATTCTTCTTCAAAATATGTGTTTTTACAATGTTCTGTACTTATTAGGATTTGGTAGTGGGTGATATAAATACAGAGATTCCCAGACTTTTTCCTTCATTATCCAAAACTGCTTATCAGAAAGTCTTATCAAACTTAACTTACGGGACTGCTTATAAATTCCTTCCATCATTACTGTTGTTACTTCAGTACTGTTGATGAATGAATGGCCATAACTCGAGGATTAACTATATTATAAAAATAATATCATTGAATGATCTTTATGTCATTTCAACAAATACATTGATTTTCGTCTTAATAAGAATACTTGGGAGACATTCGAATATATTTTAGTACACCTGACAGTCTTTAAGTCAATTTAAATGTCCCTGTTGTGATGGGTAATGAAGAAAAACCATTTTTACCCGATTTTAAGTAATTTATTCAGGTTTGGGAAGCATTGAAATTAGGACTTTGCGACAAAAGCTAAAATTTTCAGAGGATAATATTCTCTTGAATTACATAGCTGCTACATGGAATTTGACAAATAGACAACATAAATGGATTCTGTATGCCCTTACTATGAGCAAAAGATTAATATTGCAACATTGGAAAGATAAATGCATGGGACTATTTACTCAACGACTGAAAATCTGAGCGTACTTGCCACCTATGAGTGGATTGCCTATAGATGTAGGCTTTGTATGGACCACTATAATAAAATATGGAAATTATTTCTACAAAATATAGTAGGTTGAAAATAATTATAGTTATATAAATGTATTAGAAATAAATATATAGCACTTTAATAATATTTGCATTAGATAAATATATAGAGAAATGTATATGTTAACTGTTATAATGATATGTTATACTTTGGAAGGGTTCATCTTTTGAAGCACTTTTATGCAGTTTTTCTTGATAATACTGTATATGTATTTTTCTATGTCTTGTTTTTTTTCTATTACTACTTTAATTAAAAATAAAAAGATACAAATGGGTACTATTCAGTTGAAGAAGAAGATTACTATTCAGGAGGAGGAGGAGGAGGAGAAGAAAAAGAAGAAGAAGAAGAAGAAGAAGAAGAAGAAGAAGAAGAAGAAGAAGAAGAAGAAGAAGAAGAAGAAGAAGAAGAAGAAGAAGAAGAAGAAGAAGAAGAAGAAGAGGAGGAGGAGGAGGAGGAGGAGGAGGAGGAGGAGGAGGAGGAGGAGGAGGAGGAGAGCCTGAAGCCTATAATCTTCTCTGTTGCTCAGAACTCTTTTTATTTCTGCTGCATGCGTAGAACACAAATCAAGACAAGGAAGCAATCCTACGCTCTAATTATGCTGAGGATGTAACATCTGTCATTTCACCCAGCCTAAAGAAAGTGCCAAAAACACACCCATGCAAGGGATAGGCTGCTTGAATTGGTGTGCTCGAATGGCACTGTGCAGGCAAATGGCCATCACTGCAGAGATAACAGCAAGGCATCTCTTGATTTGCAGAACTGCATCCTGAAGTGAGTTTAGGATCTACTGTCTGGAACATCTGTTCAGTGGTGCAGAATCATTGTTCTGTTGTACATCAAATTCTGAGATGTGCTGTATCAAGGGTAATTATTTCTAATTAAAGCAAGGATCACTTGCTTTATGCTGCTCATGAAAAAGTCATCTATGTGCCAATTCAAATTATACATTTAAGTTTACCCTTAAGTCTCTTTAAATATGCACAGGAAAGGTATAGGAAGACTCTGGAAGATATTTTCATTGCCTGGCAGCAGAGATTTCTTTAGAATTTGTACAGAGTTTTGCCTTAGCAAAAGAAATAGTTTAAACAGAAAAAGATTGGGATGCTCAACTCATCTTTGAAATTTATATAACATTTTCATTTATGAATATTTTCCCCCAGAAACCCTACACTTACGTAACAATTATGTCCTACTTATATTATTATCTCAACCCCCATGGCTGCAATATAAGGCAAGAAACAGGTCTCTCTAATTTATAGATTTAGAAATGATGCCTAGTTATTCAAGGTGACTTGCCTGAAGGGGAAGAGATGAAATAAGTGTCCTTTTAATATCCTGACAATGAGAGAATATCCAGGCATATTTAACCTGGTCAAGGAAAGAATCTACTCTACGGATGCACACAATACTTTGACCTATATTAACTAAAGAGGCTGGATTCACACAACTAATCTAACACACATAAATCCAAACTAAGGTGAGCTCTACTGAAACTTTATAAATCCAACCATTAGATTTCCAACTGACCTGATTTAAGTGTGTTGCATGAACACAACCATAACTGATTTTTGGAAAATACATGAAAGATTCAAGGAGGTAGAAAGTAGACATAAGCAACCTTCAAAGATTTGATTCAGTAGATAAAGAAGCTCCAGGAACAAAGAATGATGAAGAACAGGAAGTCTCGTACTGATTTTAACTCGCCTACCTCTATATTTCACAAGTTATTGTCCACTAACATCTTGAGAACATTGGCTGAAATCTAAGACCACTCCTTTGGTATTATTTTACTCTTTCAAATTTCAAATAGAAAATTGAGTGAAGATTTCCCTAAATAAAATTAATATTTAGCCGTCCTTTGGCAAAACTGGTCAGGTAAAAAACAAATTACCAAACAGCAATATAGATTTTTAAAGCCAGGATGGATATTGGTTTCAGAAAGAAAATGAGAAACCAAGGCAGAAAAAGAGTTAAATAGTGAATAGACCACAGTTAAGGGCTCTTTGTTGATTCCTTAAATTAAAAAAACACAAATCTGGCATGGTGCAGAGCAAAAATTTAGCCTTAAGCACAGAGAGCAAATTTGGTGTAGTGATGAAGGCACTGGCCTAGAAGCCGGAAGAATGTAAGTTCTAGTCCTGCTTTAGACATGAAACCTGGCTGGGTAACCTTGGGCCACTCACAATCTCTTAGCCAAACTCCCTTCATAGAGTAGTTGTTGTGGGGAAATAGGAGGAAAGAGTTGTTATGCAGGTTTACTGTCTTAATTTAGTCATAAAGTAATAAAGGAAGAATGAAAAATCTAAGAAATAATATTCTGCATTTCCCAGCCCATTTCAGCGCCCAAAGTATTCTTAGAAAGAAAAATAAGGGGGGAAGTAACTCAACAATTTTGCTTTCTGTTAAATAGATTCTGCTCCATGCCTATCATGGCAGATGCTTAATATCCCAAAGTTTCCCCCCAATTCTAAAGGACAGGACAGCTTTAGCATAGGTCATATTCAAATCTTCGTTTTTATTTTTGTGTGACTGATATTGTGTTTTCTATTTCAGGCCCTTTGGGAATGACTGAGGATAAAGATGAAACACACATGCAGGAAAATAACACTATTTGAAACAAACATTTGCAACAGGCGACTTGTCTGCTCTTTTATTGTGAAATTGGCCCACCTAAAAAAACTCTGGAAACTAAAAAAAGGAAATAAATACAAGGATGATGACACATATATCCCTCTTCCAATTTTTGGGGAAGAGACTCCATCACATCACATAACAGAGAAGGGCTTTTGGGGTGGGGGGGGTATCATATGGAGTCCATGCTAAAGAGTTTGCCCTGCCCAAGATGATATTCGATGCTGGGCATCCAAGCGCCAGTGACAACTGATAACACCACAACCCACCAAGATGATCCAATGGTGTCTTGAAAGGGCTCAGGAGAATTACAGGATGTATTCCTGACAGGTGCACCTTCCCTTAAATAGCAAAGCTGAGCAAGGGGCCATATAAAAGCCAGAGACATGGTTTAGGTTTTCAACAAGTATCTTGCCAGCTTCAAGCAGAGGACATCTGGAGCAGGTAAGTACCTGCTGGGATATGCAATGCCTAAAAAAGAAGACCAGTGCAGTTAAGTTTCCCCCAAAGCACTGAAGTTGTAATCAGGGAACGTTCTGGTTATTGAAAAAGGGGACTCCTGAAACCAGGGAACTTAGTCAGTTAAGTTCTAGAAGAAACGTATGGTCCTTAGTTAATAGGTTAGGGGGCGCCATCCTAGTGATGTTTCAGAAGCAAAAAAGAGAGATATTTGATGGGATGAAATCAGTGATGTTGGATATAATGAAATCAATAATATTTACATCCACATCTTTACTGTGTGGCAACAATTCTGACAACGCTATGGACAGTTAGAAGTTTACCTTCCTAGGAAAGTCAATGAACAGAAAACAAGCTATTACTTAAAGCCAAAACCATTGTCTGAAAGCTGTATTTCATGGGTTAATAGTAGCATCGCCATTAGAAGGAATGCATGAAAAGATAGTGATTAATTCGTATTGAATTTTTAATTTTCAAATTTTGAGCAGGTTAATATACTTGTAGATCCTATTCTTTGAATCCAGCTTTCCCCAACCCCGCTTTCTGGGATGATGGGAGTTGTAATCCAACACATCTTGAAGCAACCAGGTTGGGGAAGGCTGGATTATACATATCCATGAGTTCAAGACTCCAGATCCGTCTTTTCTTTTAGTTTACTGCAGCTCTGGCTGCTACTTCTGGTGATCCTGTGCCAACAGCTTGCTAAATGCAGTTTTTTAATTAAGACAGAATAAATCAAGGCTGGCGAGGGGGTGGAAAATACTATTTTATATTTATTGTGCAGATAAATGTCAATGCTGCCTCGGAAAGAATTTTGGGAGAGAGTGATTTGCAAAAATGTGGGTGTGGAGAAAATACAGCTAAAATGCTTATGATAATGAAGGAAAAGTTTGATGAAGGGAAAGGACAGGGAAAGTACAATTCAACCAAGCAGTGGGGTTGGGGAGGTATGCTGAACGCCAACAGATCCAAGCAAAACTGGTTTTTTGATGGCCCTAAAGCCAACCCCCCCCCCAAAGGATAGGGAAAAGTAGAATTTGGGGGGGAGGGGAATGCATATTAGATACGATGACACACAATATATAATGGGGCCTTGGTCTAGTACACATAATCATGACAAGAGGGAACAATATTTTCAGCAGGGTGTCTTAATTTGGTGACCAAAACTGGTGGTTTTTGTTTAAACATTGGACCAAATAGCAGATCTCACATATCCCCATATCATGCTTTCACCTGCGTTGTTTCCCTCTGCCTTTCTCTGAGCAGTGAACAGCCTACCTTCCAAGCCAAACACCTCCTCTGAGAATGCCTGTTTTTTTCCAAATTCAGGGAGAGAAGAATTGCTTTCCTAAATAAACTCTTGGCAGGCAGATCAGGGGGTCCATGGGGAAAGCTGAGTTATTTAGACTGAGTGTAATCCTAGAACAGGCTCACATCACAAGTTGTTGCCTTGTGAATATAAGACTCCCTAAGAGGAAGGAATGGAAGGGTCACAATGTAATATAGAGAAGAGGGCCAGCGTTCTTCAGAGCACATTGAGCTCCAGGACCAAACAACACTCTTGCCAGCAAAGAGCATTAGACATCCCAGCTCATGTTATTTGGCATTAAAATAAGAGGGTAAACTTGAGACAGAGCTTCAGTCTTCTCCATCCCCATTTTATAATTACAGATTTGGAGGAGTTGATGCTAGGCTGATGGCGCAGTCAGTAGTTAAAGTGCAGTATTGCAGACAAACTCTGCCCACAGTCTGGAGTTCGATCCTGACAAGGCACAAGGTTGACTCAGTCTTCCAAGTCGGTAAAATGAGGAGCCAGATTGTTGGGGGGCAATATGCTGACTTTGTAAACCGCTTAGCGAGGGCTGTAAAAGAATATGAAATGGTATATAAGCCTAAGGGCTATTGCTATTCCTAAATTCACATCATAGACGCAGGCTGGTGGTCCACACTACATTATAATTAAATGATGACTGTTCAGGGGCTGCTTGTTCTCAGTCTTCAATTATCTCACCATCCTGAAGCACAGCACTGGGGGTGGGGGGGACAATTGGGACAAGCAACCAAGCATTGGGTAATCTTTCTCCCCAAAGGCTCTCGAAAGAGCTCATGTAGAAGGTTTACTCTGTAAAGGTCGCTTGTAAACAAACCAACTGATCTCATTGCCATTATGAACACCTCGGTGCCCTTTAAGGAGCGGCCTGGGGACAGCTGCCATGGTTGCGCCAGCTTGGCAGCCTCTCACCACAATGTCTTTTGATTGCCAGACGGAATTACTGTTTTTCTGATTTTTTTTTCCATCTGAGAAACCACAATGGATGCAGCCCTGTTTCTGATCCGGCTGTGTACATGCATTTTCTGGTCTGTTGCTTTTCCAACCTCTTTTTTTGGGGAAAGATGGAAATATGTTTGCAACCAGCCATTATTCTATTTGTTTGCTATCAACCATTACTCCTAGTTGCATTTGCAACCTGTACAGTATTCTTCAAAAGCTGAATGATCTTGGTGGCCTCAATCAAACAAACTATATAGGTGATGATTCTTCTGTCATAACAATCTGATCTCAGCCTTTCTGGCTTCTGCTCCCCATCTTCCACTTGTAGTATTATGCTGAAAACAGTTTAGAAAAGTTTGGGAGGAAGATTGGATGGCTGGGTTTGCCTGAGAAATAAATACTGTTGTGTTTAGAATGTTAACTTCTCCAATTATTCATAAATAGGAATTTGAAAAGGCTTTTTAAATGACATCCGTGCAATCTAGAATAAGAATGACTTTTAAGGGCTGCCAGAAAATACAAATTACTTACAGAGTAGTTCATTTTTGTGGAAAAAAGAAGCAGGCGCTGCTAAATCACAATTTTTATTCCTTGAATTAATCAATGAAGAGAAGACTGGAGACCAACATTAGCTTGCCTATACTTAAGAGGGAACAGAATTTTAGAAATTTTCTCAGATACATACCATTTTGGTTATCAGAAATCCTTCCATTGAAACTGAGAGTGATTGATGGATGGCATGGCTAGCTGACAGCTTGCGAATCTGCATGCAGTTTCATCAGGCCTCCAAAGAACAAGACAGAGATGTGGCAAGATACCATTTTACTTGAAAGAGAACTTTAGCAATATTAAGGGACTTTCCTCATTGATATGCGTAAATGATTTTTCCTGCTGACAAAGGAGAATATTTGTAGCTCAGGGTTGAAATGAGGGGTCCTTGGTGCTCCCCAAGTTTGGTTGTTTTCTTGCAAACTTTTCATTACCCAAACTCACATCATCAGTGCAACAAGGACACCCCGCCCTGATTTTTCTGCTTTACAAGAGCCCAAATATTCCAATATTAGATATACCTCTTTCCAGGGGTGGGTTCTAAATTTTTTTACTACCGATTCTGTGGGCGTGGCTTATTTTGTGGGCATGGCTTGATGGTCATGTGACAATTATTTAGGATTTAGCAGAGGTACTGGTCTACCAGGCTTTTAACTGCTTGCAGAGCTGTAGCGATCTACCCATTTATTTTTGCAGGCATTGATCTACTCATGTATTTTTGCAGGTACTGGTCTACCCATTTATTTTTTGCAGGCACTGATCTACTCATGTATTTTTGCAGGCACTGGTCTACTCATGTATTTTTTCAGGCACTGGTCTACTCATTTGTTTTCTTTTAACACTGATCAGCTGTAGGGCGGCCCTTTGAAGCCCTGCGGCAAGAGTTTAAACAGTTTTTTCCCCCTCTAGCCATCAGCTGGGACTCAGGAGGCAGCAATAGATTTGGGGTGGGGCCAGTGGTGGGATTCAGCCAGTTCACACCACTTCGGGAGAACCGATTGTTAACTTTCTGAGCAGTTTGGCAAACTGGTTGTTGGAAGAAATCACTAGGGCAGAGAACCGGTTGTTAAATTACTTGAATCCCACCACTGGGTGGGGCCAAATAAAAGATAAGAATAATGCGGGGGGGCACGGGGGGGAGCAGAACCGGTTCGGTGACGTCATATCATCATTGCTACCGGCTCGGGAGAACCGGGCTGAACCAGGAGGAACCGACCACTGCCTCTTTTATAATTTTTGGTTGCGAGAGACTACCCCTTTTAAACATGGCCTTCCTAGACCCCCTGTCCACCACACAAATTAGGCTACCACCTGGTCTTTTATCTCTTTTTCCATAAATGTTATTAGCAGTCTTCCCTTTGCTCATTCATGCCCCTTTGCCATCCAACCATTGGGTAGGGATTTCCATTTGTGTTATTAAATGAAGAATATGTTGCAAAGTGTGGGAAGTGAGCGTGACTCACATCAAAGTTCACCTCAGCTATCAGACACTTGGCTGCTGGCGATGGGGAAGGAGCCAGGGAGAATAAACTGCTGACCGCATCATTGACAAGATCAGTAGCTAGCTCAGTGCAACAGGATTTACTGGAATTTGAAATCTGCCTGTGGTTTTAGCAGGCAATTGAAAGCTTCTTTCTTTTGGATTAAATGGAAGATAATCGCAGTAACCAATACTGTCCCTTCACTTAGGACTGAAATCTACTTTGGATTAATGGATTTAATCTTTGGAAATTGGTAGGAATTCCTGTTGTGCATGGGAATGAAAGCCGAAGGGCCTTCAAATAGTCTCCCCAACCACAACTCTGCTTGGCCATCGACAGCTTCAGAAAAATCTCATCCAGGGTGGGCTTCAAAAATTTTAGCAAGGGGTTCTCTGCCTGGTTGCTGGGTGGGTGTGGCCATGGTGGGCGTGACCTAGTCGGCCTCCTGCACCATGGGGAGGGGCGTTTTTGCCCTCCCTGGGTTCCAGAGGCTTTTTTCGAGCCTCCGGGAGGGCAAAAACCATCTCCCCAGGCTCTGGAGGCCCTTTTCCGGCCTTTCTGAACTTCCAGTAGGCCCATTTTTCGCCCTCCCTGAGCCTCCACGCGCTCCCTGCACTTACCTGCATCCAAAACAGGCTGCATGGGGACTTCTGGGAGGGGAGGGGTGGGGTGGGAAGGGCCAGCCAGGAGTGGGATTTGGGGGTTCTCCGAACTGCAGAGAATCTTAGCTAGAGATTCTCCCGAACCCCTGCAAACCCCCAGCAGCCCACCCCTGATCTCATCCTACAATTCTGTCACTTCAGGTTGGAAAAATCCTTCTCAATAGTAACTCCCAGTTATCAGAACTTCCTATCAAGGGAGACATTCTATTTCTATAGCAAAAATATTTGTGTTTGGGCAGGACTTTGGTGTAAAAACAGACTTTTAGCTGTTGAAGTGGAGGCCACTGTATCGGGCCCTGGGGTGGGGGTGGGGGGTTAGGGTACATTTCTATCATTTATATAACTGCTTTTTGAAATGAATTTGTTGGCTGCCTTGATATCATCCATTGGTGGGGGGGAAATGGACATGAATTCCATAAATAAATAACAAATAAATGTTAATCCCAGCCATCCACAAAGCCAAAAAGATAAGTTGGGAAGGCTGACCTAGGGAATTGCCATAGGAAGACACAAACAGGTCTGAACAAGGTCTTAAATATATAACCTGACTCGAGGCAAGCAAACATGGGCAGCATCTGCATTCCTCATAAATACAATCAGTGACAGAAATTATGCCCCTTCTCTAAAAAAACAGAATATCAGCTCCCTTATTATGCTTGAAAGCAAGATGCTCAAATCTCTGTAGTTCTAGTACTTTGTCCTCTGGGGTATTATAACCCTAGTGCTAAATCAAAAAGATATTATATGTGACTTTTTGTCAAAAAAAATCTTGATATGTTTATAAGAATATGAAAACAACATTAGAAACCATGGCAATAGTAGCGGCAAGAGCCTCACTCGGAATGGTAAATTATGGATTAGCATTACAAGATGAAATTATTCTCTTCCTTCTCATCAGGATGGTTGAAATTAAAAGGTTGGAAGCTTTTCCGTTCAGGATTTAACCAGGATTCTGCATAAAGTCCAAAACTGGGGATGCTCATTAAATTATCATGCCATAGGGTATGATGATTTAATGAGGGTAGAACAAGAAACAATGGGTGGAAACTAATCAAGGAGAGAAGCAATTTAGAACTAAGGAGAAATTTCCTGACAGTTAGAGCAATTAATAAGTGGAACAACTTGCCTGCAGAAGTTGTGGATGCTCCAACACTGGAAATTTTTAAGATGTTGGATTACCATTTGTCTGACATGGTGTAGGATTTACTGCCTGGGCAGGGGGTTGGACTAGAAGACCTCCAAGGTCCCTTCCAACTCTGTTATTCTATTTCTATTTCTAATTCAAGCTCATTTGGCTTCCGAGAAAAGAATCACGTTAGGACACAGCTATGTTGTTTCCTGAACGTAATCATAGTGACACATATTGAAATGTGTTGTGCTCCAGTGTTCTAGTCAACCAGCCATGCCTTCTTCTCTGCTACTCTTTTTTCCAGCCCAATTTATTTTTCTCACTCTTGCTTTGCTCATTTCCTACCAGCATTATGTGCCCCCACTCCCACTCCCCGGGCAAACTTATTTCTCATTGGATTGTTTTGGGAAGTTTTGCACAACAGATTTTTCCTCCCTAAAGTTATTCGAATTTCTATAAACTGCGATATCTCTTGTTAGGATGGATAATATCACCTGATTATTTTAGAGGGGCGCTACCAATAAAACTGAACTGGAACAGTATCTTTTGGAAGTACAGGTAGTCCTTGACTTATGACCACAATTGAGCCCAAAATTTCTGTTGTTAAGTGAGACATTTGTTAAGTGAGCTTTGCCCCATTTTACGACCTTTCTTACCACAGTTGTTAAATGAATCATTGCAGTTGTTAAGTTAGTAACACGGTTGTTAATTGAAACTGGCTTCCCCATTGATTTTGCTTGTCAGAAGGTTGCAAAGGGGGATCATATGATGCCAAGACATTGCAACCGTCATAAATATCAACCAGTTGCCAAGCATCTGAATTTTGATCAAGTAATCATGGGGATGATGCCATCGGTCATAAGTGTGAAAAATGGTCACAAGTCACTTTTTTCAGTGCTGTTGTAACTCTGAACAGTCACTGAAAAAACTGTTGTAAGTCGAGGACTGCCTGTACTGTTTTAAAAGAAACTTGTTTAGAATTGGTTAGGATGTGTCAGACAACTGCTGCTGATGTCCAAGAGAGGAACTGCCACATTTTTTAACTCTCACATAAATTCTTTTTTTGCAATCCATAGCAGCATGGAAGATGAGTTTTCTTGCCAACTCAAAAAAATGGCCTTGGCCATGGGTGCATCCCTGACGGACAAAGATCTTGACCTGTTGCCCTCAGAAATGAGGCACCACGGTAAGGAACGAAAGAAACCAAAATTGTTGAATTTGCAGTAGACTCCTAAAGAATATCAGATAGCACATTCAGATTATTTGCATATACAGGTAGTCTTTGACCTACGACCACAACGGAGCCCAAACTTTCTGTCTCTAAGCGAGACAGTTGTTAAGTGAGTTTTGCCCCATTTCTTGCCACACTGGTTAAGTGAACCACTGCAGTTGCTGAGTTAGTAACACGGTTGTTAAGTGAATCTGGCTTCCCCCTTGACTTTGCTCATCAGACAATGATCACGTGAATGCTAGGACATGCAACCGTCATAAATACATGCCAGTTGCCAAGTATCCGAATTTTGATCATGTGACCATGGGGTCGCTGCAAGAGTCATCAGTGTGAAAAATGGTCATAAGACACTTTTTAAAGCACTGTTGTAAATTCAAACGATCTAAAATGGCTGTCCCATAGAAATAGAGAATCTCCATAGACATTTAAATGAACGGTTGTAGGTCACAGACTACCAGTAATATAGTTTTCAATGTTAAATCTGGGCTTGTGTCTGTCTGAGATGTGAAGTGAGCCATAGTTATGTTCTACATATGAAAATAAGAGCTTCCACATACAGTGTCAATAAAGTTCTGCAGACCATATTTATAACACGCTAACAATATAATTCGTCAATTGAAAAGAATCCATTCTGTTGCAGCTTCATTCAATTATACCAAGTTCCTTGAATACATGCAGAAGTTTCTGACATCGGACGAGAGGGAGACTCACTTGCGTAAAGCCTTCAAATTGCTTGACAAGGATGACAGTGGTTTCATTGAATGGAATGAAATCAAGTAAGATAAAGTTGTTGTCTATTGCTACGAAACATAGGGGGAAAGTTAATAAGGGCAGACATGGCTGATTGCTTTATTTACAGATGGAGAGGTACAAAATGTTGGAGTGGCATCACTTCATTATTTCACTTTTAACTTCACAAGCTAAATTTGTTGATTTCTGAGGAGCTAGGTTCAGCTGGATTCAGCTGACTCCTGGACTTACCCATTTTTAGAAGCTACTACAATCATGTTGGGAGTGCCGAAGCGCTTCTGGGTTGAAAGGATTAGCCAGTGTCATCACTGATGCCTGGAGGACACCTAGTTGGGGGCTCCTTTCATGTCCCTGCTAAGCCGCCCACCAATGTGGTATCGATCTATCTATTCATGGTCACCTGCTTTCAAACTGCTGGGTTGGCAGGAGCTGGATGAATGACGGGAGTTCACCCTGTCCTGCAGCAACAACCGGGTCTCGAATGCCAGCCTGCCAATCATACCAGCCTCCTGTTCTGCCCCAGCTCCGGATTTTCAAGGATATTGACACACACCAACAGTCCTTATCAAATTTATTAAGTAGCAAGAATAAACAAGACCGGCAAAGGTTGGCAACCAGCCCAGAAAACAAGATATGATAAACCAAAATACTCTGATAATAAATACGAGTTGTTTCCAGCAAGAAAGCACTAGCTGCATGCGACTTAAATAGGCTAAGGGAGTGGCCAATTATCCTCAAGCCCTACTCTCGAGTAGACCTCCTCCTCCTGAGTAGCCACTCCTGCCTTTTGGCAGCCCTGCGTGCTCGAGCATTGAGGAGAGGCTCCTCCACTTTGCTCTCTCCACTTGAAGGAACCTCTGGAGATTCTGAAGGCCCTGGCTGAGTCTCTGCCTCTGGCACCACATCAGCCTCCTCGCTGTCCGATGTGAGCGCTGGCTGCGCAGGCTACTGGCGCAACACCACACCAGCCTCCTTTTCGTCGGGATCAGCCACGATCCGTGCAGGCTGCTGGCGGGCCACAACACCTCCTAACCACATGAGCCACTGTGCTAATTCTCTTCAAGGTTCTTTACAGGTCTTTCAAGCCATTTTTGGCATTTTGTATTCTTGAAGCCATTTTTCCAGAACTGGTCTGGTTCTTCAAATGATGAGAGGCTTTGTAGAGATCCTTGAAGCCATTGTAATATATTTTGCACATGTCCTTCAAAGCATTGATTCTTGAGGTCTTCTATTGGTTTTTTTTTTAAGCCAACCATTATACTTAGGGCATCTCAAAACTCTAGACTTCTGCATATCTTTTAATACATGTTTTAAGACATTTAATACATGCTTTAAGCCATGTTTACAAATTAGATGAGTCCTATTACTAGATGAGTGATTAGAAATAGTCAGTCTGGCAACAAAAGTGGCCATTCTCTCTCTCTCTCTCTCTCTCTCTCTCTCTCTCTCTCTCTCTCTCTCTGTGTGTGTGTGTGTGTGTGTGTGTGTGTGTGTGTGTCTATTCCCCCCCTCTGAACTTTTGAAATCACATCAATAGCTACATAAAATTAGCCTGAGTCATAACTTGACAGCTTTGCCGAGAGATTATACAGCTATGACAGTGCATTTAGCATAAGGGTTAATCCTTATACTAAGTAATGAATACGAACAATCCTGTTTGCTGTGGATTCTCTTATATTTCTTATCCCAGAATTAAGTGGATTGAAAACAGAATTGGAATTTCCTATCAAGACTGTTCCTACCTCCTGCATTAGAGTCGATTAAATGGAACAGAATTCTGGCTGTAACAATTATGGAGAAAAGGTTAACAGATGCAACCTTGCCAACTCATCATGTCCACAGCGTGTGTTGAATCCCGTTACACGTGCCTGTTCAAATTTTGTCTTCTGTTGCCTCTGATTACCTTACATAGGACTTGATCCAACATGCTTTCTTTGCTAAGAAAGTGCCATGTGTCTCATCATTATACTCTGTTATATTTTTAGTCCATCCACTAATCACAATCTTAATTTCATATGACTTGATGTATTTTCAAAAGACCACTCTATCCACGTTCGTGGACAATTTAGTTTTCTCATTTTTGCTTAAATCCTTTCCCGAGGTCAAGAGGAAAAGATAAATAAGGTGAGAACAAATCCAGGGCAGGGAGAATAGCATATCCCTGTGAAAGACACCACAGCATTCCTCAAATACATGCTCCTTGTGATTATAGTTCCTGTCATCCTGCCAACCCATATAGTTGGGGGCAACAAGATCATCATTCAACCCTTAAAGGACATCAGGTCAAGGGGGCAAAACGAAGTTAGATTATCCAGCCAAGTCAGAAATTTATTTTTGCAACTGCTTTGCTCCTGGCTAATCTCAGTAAAAAAGAGATGAGAGTAGGGGGAGGAGGAGAAGGCAAAGATTGTGCACGGGGAGTTACTAAGCACAATGTACCTCTCCTTGCTGTGCCTCAATTTCCACCTCTCTCACCCACAGGTACATCCTAGCCACAGTGCCCAGTAACATGCCAATTGTCCCCTTGTCAGATGAAGAAGCAGAAGCTGTGATCCAGGCAGCAGACAGAGATGGCGATGGGAGGATTGATTTTCAAGGTGGGCAGAAACAGAATTTACGAACAAAAGTAGCACCTTTTTCAGAGAAAAGACACACTCTTTCTTCTTAAGACAGAAAACCACACAGAAAGCAGGCAGGGCCAAATTTGATTTATCTGGAAATTAAATTAAGCAAATTAAATATTATATATGTAATTGTTTCCCATAGCAGAAATATAAATGCAGCTTTGTCATATTACAAAGAATAATTTATACTTTTAGACAGACTCCATGAGATGTGCCCAACTTTTCCGAGACCATTCTGGCCTTCAATTGCTGCGACAAACTTTTAAAGGAAAATGTGGCTATTTAGAGGCAAATAATAAAGTATCAGAGTAGCCACTATTATGCAAAGCTCATCTCTAGGACACTATTGTGAGGGCAATATTAGAACCAGAAAGTCAGAAAAGCTTGTAACTAAGTTGGTTCAATTAAAAAGCAAGGATCCTGGAACGAGCAGCATGTCTGCAGAAGAGAGCAACATCAAAATGGTGGGTGTGACTGGCTACAGAAAGAAAGAAAACAGGAGTGTCAAACTGGCGGCCTGCGGCCTGGATGCATCACGCGCAGGCCAGTGGTGGGTTGCCCCTGGTTCGCACCGGTTCTATAGAACCAGTAGTAAAACTGGCGGCAGGCTCCACCCACCAACCCCGACGTCATCAAAGTGCTCTGCGCACGCGTGGCCCCATTGCGAACTGGTAGTAAAGGTAAGAAGAACCCACCCCTGGCATAGGCCATGCCCGTCCCAGCTTCACAAAGGCAAAAAACGTCACGATCGAGTTTGAAAAGAACCACACAGAAGCTAGACCTTCTTTACTTACAAAGCAAGTGCAGCCCAGAGTGATGTTTGAGGGCTGCTATACCACACTACTACTTGCTGAAAACCTTTGAAACAGCTGTGTCAAATGATTGTGGTAAAATTGCCACAATTGGAGTCATTTTCTGTAGAAATAAAGCATTGTAGGGTCCTTGGTGCTCTCTGAGCTTCGTTCTTTGCTAGCAGACATTTAATTACCCAACTATGTAACATCATCAGTGCAAGTGAATGAGGACTTTGCTTCCTGTTTATACAAGCAGCTTGCCCCACCAGCTTTAGTGCTAGTGGTGGGCAAATAAAACATGCCACACCATAACAGATTTGTTCTTATATTTGGGGTGGGGTAGAAGAAAGCGGGGAATTACTGCCTTATACAATTTTTTTTTAATGCAAAACCTACTCACTCTGATTATCTTATTGCATTGCAGAGTTTACTGATATGATCACCAAGGAGAAGATTCCAAAGAAATAATAAGAGAAAAATAAAACCACCTTTTGCTTCTCTACTCAAAAGTGGTGTGTAGGGCTGGGATGGTTGTTGGGATCTGCTGGTACTTTTATCTCTGATCTTTTTTTTTTTTCTTGAAGTACCATTTTTTTTTTTGCAGGAAGATTTTTGGAGGGGGGCGCACATCTGTAGCTTGCTGAATGACCTCTGTAGTGCACCAGAAACAAATCAAAGCATTCATTTTATTTCTCTTTGTGACATCTTTTGGGGCAAGCAGTTTGTTATGAAATGCCCTGCCCGATCGTTTGAATAGGTTCTTTCCTGGCTATGCTACATGAGAACGGGAATCATTTCCTTAGCCTATGCTTGCCCGATGGAAGACATGTAGTTGTGGTAACAGAACGAGACCAGCTTTTTTTAGAACAATGATGAACAGAAGGTCTATCCTTCCCTAGTCTTTGCTGCAATTTGCCCCCCCCCCACTCCCTAGTCTTTATTCATTAAATTTACCAATGCCCTGACTGCTCCCTTTGCCTTGAGGATTAAATCCTGTTTTCCTTGGCTCTGTCCTTTGGGGAAGTGTAGACCAGCCGGTGTGCAAAATATGCAGTGGGGACAATCCCAATTACAGAGAACATGGGGCTGAATGACATCTGGATGAACATGTTCTGAAACCCCACCCCCTCCTAATGCCGTGTTTTCCTCTCCTCTAAATCCTTTGCTGGCCTTGCAATACGGAACTAGAAATGCTTGCTTAGGTTTCACGCCACGAAAACAAAATGTTCCTGAGGCAAGTAAATGCCATATGTTTTCACCACATTGGCTGCAGCATACCTTTCTTTGACGATGCATTTGATCACAGTGAAAAAAGAGGTAAGGGGAAACCGAAGAGAGATGCGTGCATGAAACCCTCTCAAGATCTATTCTGTCACAAAAGAGTCCTGAAATGGCGACTCTAATTTTCCTTTGCAAAACAAGTGTCAACAAGGGGCAGCATGGATTAGCTCCAAATACCAGAGTTACTATTGAATTCAGCATCCAGGGAGAGGAGGAACTTTTCCAATGGACAGCACTCATCCAGAGAAAGAAATTTCTTGAGGAACGCGGTAAGGGAGGAAAGCTTTCTGCATCTGGGTTTGCCCCAAAAGGCTTAGTCCTTCTAGATTCTGGTCACCACTACATCACTCAGGGAAGCCCATCTGCCTGCAAACACCTCCCATGGCATCTGCCAAGCGTTTTTATTTTTTAAATATTCACCTTTTATTTTTAAAATGAGGAGCTTACAAAGGGGCAAGGAAAACCTACGGTAACTCTCGTGCATAAATTGCATTTCCAAAAATTAATTTGTCCACATTCATTTGACAGGCATATTTAGAAAAGAAGGAGGGGACCTGTACCCCAATGCTTTATTTGGATAGGTGCTCTTTTTCCCCTTTGCTAAACTGAGAGTGGGCGTGGCCAGGGTGTGATACATCTGGCCCATGGACCGCGAGTTTGACACCCCTGCTGTAGGAGATATCCACTTCTGGGAAGAACCTAGCATTATAGTCAAGCCAATACCATTTGCAAGCAGGGGATACATTAGTCTTCCCAAACTATTTATTACCCTGCAATTCCTTTTTTTATTATTATTATTAAAGTTTTTATTGTTAGAAAATTATAATTTTCTAACAATTCCACCTTTCCGGTGTCATGGTGTTAATAAACACATACATATACATATACATAATATTTACTTATTATTTACATGGTATTACTTAATTTACATGGTAAATTACCCTGCAATTCCTTCCTATAAGTGCTTTGCAGCGGAGGATTATGGAGTTAAAGTACCTCTGTAGGGGAACAAGATGGGGAAAAAGTGTGCCCCATCTCACATTAATTTGTTAGAAGAGTTTGAGCTTCCTGTTCAGAAGTAAAACCTCAAGGTGGTTATCTCATGGTGGTTTTAAGAGCTGCAAGCTGCAACTGAAGCAGCTGAAGTTGTCAGTTCAGGTAGAGGCTCCTGTCAAGCTGAGATAGAGGTATAATTGCTACAGAAGAGGGAGGGGAATGATTAAATACAAGAACTGCCATGAGCGTGCAAAGCCAAATGAGTGGCACAGCCAAAGAAATAATCCCGCTTCTGCAATACACAGAACAGCGTCACCTGCTGCCACTACAACAGGCTTAGAAATACTCCAAGCACAAGCACAAAAGAAATATTAGTAAGGTCATTGATTGTATACTGGACCTCTTCAGAAAATACTTAATAAGGTACAGGAAGCGCTCGACTTACAACAGTTCCTTTAGTGACTGTTCGAAGTTACAATGGTACTGAAAAAAGTGACTTATGGCCGTTTTTCACACTTATGTCCATTGCAGCATCCTTGTGGTCACGTGATCAAAATTCAGATGCTTGGCAACTGACTCATATTTACGACGGTTGCAGTGTCCCGGGGTCATGTGATCACCTTTTGCAACCTTCTGACAAGCAAAGTCAGTGGGGAAGCCAGATAACAACCGTGTTACTAACTTAATAACTGCAGTGATCCACTTAAAATCTGTGGCAAGAATGGTCATAAAATGGGGTCATCACTCACTTTAACAAATGTCTCACTTAGCAACAGAAATGTTGGGCTCAATTGTGGTCATAAGTCGAGGACTACCTGTATAGCAATGACTCTTTGTAAACCATGTACTGAGCCGATCACCTTGTGGCTAAAGCAGGGGTGTCAAACTGGCTGCCCCCAGGGCCGGACGTGTCACGCGTAGGCCACGCCCACCCCAGCTCTGCGAAGGGGAAAATTGTCGCGAAATGTCATGTGACACCACAGGTTTGACACCCATGGGCTAAAGGCTCATGGAGTTTTCCAGAATGCAGTGACCACATGATGGCAATGTAAGTCAATACATTAGGCGGCCATTCATCATGATGATGATGAATAACCAATAACCTCCATGGGACAGTGGAGAAAGAAATCAGGGACAAGGCCCACATCGCCTTTTGCCACTTTTCCAGAAGTTCCTGAGGCTCCAGGAAATATTCCATTTGCATTCTAACTATGGGATGTTTGTTCCAGCTTGAGAAATAGCATATATTTGGAATATACTAAAAATACTTACAATATTGCTACTGGAGCAGCCTCTTCTTTTTAGCCTTCCAAAGTCACATGAACAGTTCGTTGCCATGGAAATTTGCTACCCTCAAAATTACCAAAACCAACCAACGTTCTATGAGGTACTGTAGCTTTGCATCGTGCATTTAAATGCCAGAAAATTACAGTTCACCAGATCGCTGGATGATAAATAACAAAAATGTTGAGATGAATTTGTTGTTCAGCAACACTTGATCTAGGATTATAGTGGATAATGTGAATCCCAACTCAAGTTTAATCAGAGTTATGGGTCCTGGGCTGCTGCCCAAGATAAACTCTGTATAATTGATTATATAACACAAGCCATGTTATTTGGGGGAGATTAAGCCTTGTTGTCTAGAGCTGAAGCAGCCTAGGCTTTTTTGAAGCCCAAATTAGAAAACACTGTGGAAAAAGGCAGCAATGCTGTCCTAAGAATACCTCAGAAACTTTTAGGTGTTGGATTGGAAGCTGCTGCTTTGTCTGACTGATCCAGTTTAAGGAGCTTTGTGCTGCCTTGTCTGTAGTTTCTGCCTTAAAAAAAAGTGTTTCTGAGGTTGCAGATGGAAGAATTCATCAGATGTCCTATATTTTGTCCTTGTAGAATTGACCACTGAGGAGGACTTTGAGAACATATTTTTTTGTTGTTGTTTAGGGATGAAGGTACAACTGTAGGTCCATGGAGTTGTTTGGGGTGGGTTGTACTGATATCTGACTAAATCTTCCTTTTCCTCCAGGACCTTATCTGCGTATCCTCACTCTTGCTTTGCTGAACTGAGTTAGTAGTAGAAAAGGAAGAATCACAGAATCGCAGTTGAGTGAACCCATTAAGATAATCAGGGTAGAATCCAAATTAAAGCTTCGGTTCAAATTAAAGGAGCCTAGATAGCTCAGCAGACTAATGCACTGTAATTTAACTCCAGCTGTCTACAATTAGTAAGTTCGAATCTTGCCAGGCTCAAGGTTGACTCAGCCTTCCATCCTTTCTAAGGTAGGTAAATTGAGGACCCAGTTTGTGGGGGCAATAAGCTGACTTTGTAAAAATATACAAAAATATGAAGGCTATTGCTTAACGCATTGTAAGCCGCCCTGAGTCTCCGGAGAAGGGCGGCATATAAATCAAATTTAAAAAAAAAAAGGATATTGCAGAAGATGAAAAGTAGGTTGCATAATGGGTCTTATTTCCTTCTCCCATTATTTTCCTTTTTGTGTGCACATTTTAAAAAGTTCTCTGTTCTCCAGCAGAACTGAGGTTAAAAGCCCTCTTGTATGTGGCCTGTCTTCAAGAGGAAGTTAGCGTCAAAGTTCCTCTGATCTTCCATTTGTGAGAGGCTTGGTTCAAGACAGCTGGCAAAGCCAATCAGCCCTTGTAAGCCGCCCTCCTCCTCCTCCTCAGATGAATCACTATGGTTACTACTTCTGTAGAATTCCTTAGCGACTTAAATTAAAAGTAATCTGAAATAATACATGATGGAATTTAAGTGGCTGAAGAATTTAGGAATAAAATATTCACTAGTTAGGAATTGGGAATCCTCCCAAAGGACAAGAGTAAGGTGAATAAATTTGCAAAACCTTGTGTTCTTTCTTCATGTTCGTTTATCCAGAACAATTTTTTCCTTGCCTCAGATCTTATTCACCATTTGGTGAGCCAAAAATAGAAATGGAATTTACGTCTTGCAAATCTCAGCTTTCTATTTCATTTTAATTCCATTTAAGAAGCAGCTTCTAACTCTTGTGTTTTCTCCTTCTGGAATCTCAGAAGAGAGAGCTGCTAAGCAGGACATTCAGCTAATGCTTTGATGAATAATATTCCCTAGCATATCTATAGTGTCTAGAAAATAGTCTCCTATTTTTGTGAGCTGTTCAAAACATGAAATAGAATATTCATTTAATTCCCTCGTTCCCTTACATAATGTGTAAATTATGGAGATCATAGCATCAC